GAAAGAAAGAAAGAAAGAAAGAAAGAAAGAAAGAAAGAAAGAAAGAAGGAAAGAAAGAAGAAAAGAAAGAAAAAGAAAGAAGGGGTTGGGGACTGGCTGGTTAACAGGTTTGCTATCTCTGAGAACTGGTGAGCCTTGGAAGGGCAGTCTCTCCCCGGGGAGCCCGGAAGGCCCCAGATGCCAGAGCATCAAACAAACAAATAAATAAATAAAAGTGAGTTAATAAAATTGGGCCTATGAGGAATGGATGCCAAAGAGACACATACAGAATGGAAGAGAACACAGAACAGGTGCCTTCTCTGGGCCAGGCCCTGCATCAACCCCGTGGTGGGCTTTCTAGCATAAAAGCAGCTTATCAAAGCCCCACTCTTTTGGGCTGAGTTGCCCAATCTGGCCCTAGCCCGGGACGCCCAAACCACCCCACCCGCAGACCCTAACAAAGGCATGAGCCCCTGGTCCTGCCTCTCTGTCTGCACTCTGCCTTGACCTCTCTTGTGTGGCCCCTCAAGGCCGGACCTGTGCGTATAAAAAGTCATAGCAGGGGTGCCTGGGTGGCTCAGTCGTTAAGCATCTGCCTTCGGCTCAGGTCATGATCCCAGGATCCCGGGATCGAGCCCCGCATGGGGCTCCCTGCTCCGTGGGAAGCCTGCTTCTCCCTCTCCCCTTGCTTGTGTTCTCTCTTGCTGTCTCTCTCTGTCAAATAAATAAATAAAATCTTAAAAACAAGTAAACAAAAAGTCATAGCATTGCCCCATTTGGGAAGAAAGGAAATGCAGAGGAATCACATAACTGCCAGAGGTCACTCAGCAGAGGCAAGGGTTGACCACTCAGCCCGGAGCCTGGCTCCTGACCCCGCCCCGCTCACTGTGAGCAGAAGGGTCCTCCCGGTTTTAAGCTCCTGCCTAAGTTCCTCTCATGTCCCTTCATCAGCTTCAGTCTGTCCAGGTCACAGAGCTCAGGAGGTCCCAGGCCCCTTGCACCCCTGCGCCCCCATCAGCAGAAGCTGCCTGTAACCTCTCCTGAGATGGGTTAGTGCTTCTGAAGTTACATAAACAGCGACTTTGCCTGCTGTCTGCATGTTACTGTAGTCTCTCTGGCTTCATACCTCATCAAATATTCATGCGGGGCTCACAGTGCATTAGGAGCTCCACCCGCAAAGAGTCTTGATGCCTTGGGGGAAATACACAATTTGAATCCATCAGCATTTGCCTTCTCTGTGCCAGGCACCGGGGGTTCAGGGGTACCCAGCAGACTCGGTCTCGGCTTCCTTGGCTCACAGCCTGCCTAATGCTGGAGTCAAAAGTCATCGCTGTCACCACCACGTGCTGGGGAGGTTGGGTGACACTTGCTGCAGGGCAGTGGGGAACCTCTGAAGGCGGGGGTGGGGGGGGCACCAGCGGCACGATCAGGGGAATGTTAGGAAATTCCGAGGGCCCCCGGGGAGCACAGGCTGCAGGGGGCTGACTTGCCGGCCCTGGCGCTACCCTTGCCCCAACTCCCCCAGCCCCGCTGTCTCCGGGGTGGGATCATCCCCGACGCCCCCAGGCACCGGAGGCTCGGACGGAGGGAACTTCCGCGGTCACTGCCTCTGCTGGAGAGGCCGCCCGGCGTCTGGAGACTCCTGCGGCCAGCTGCGCCGCTGAGTGGCTTCCGTCCTTTGCAGCAACCCCGCAGCACCCGGGGCTGCGGGAAACCCAGCCGCAGGTGAGTCGGCCCGCCCCACGCAGGCGCAGCGCCCTCCGTCGCCTCGGACTACAACTCCCGCCGCGCCCCGCGCGCTCCCACCGCCTCTCCCCGGCCACGCCGCGCGCCTCCCGGAAGTGGGGCCCCGGGGAAGCGTCTCCGACCTTCGCGCGGGGGTGGGAGGGCCGGCTGGTTCGGGGAGGCGGCGGGAGCTAGGGCCCCGATGCCCGCCGGCAGAGCCTGGGATGGCTTCGGCTGGAGGCGGCGACTGCGAGGGCGCGGCGCCGGAGGCGGACCGTCCTCACCAGCGGCCCTTCCTGATCGGGGTGAGCGGCGGCACCGCGAGCGGGAAGGTAAGGGGCTGGGCGGCCCGGCGGGGGCCTGCGTGCCACCTCGACCCCGGCCCCCTGGGACTCGGGGCGGAGCGATCCGGCCACCAGCCGGGGACGAGACCCCGGGCTCCTGGCTGCCGAGGCGTCCCCTCCAGGGCGGACGCGGAGGGGCGAGGGGCTGCGGCCGTGGTGGAGCAGGCCGGGGCCGGGGTGCAGGCAGGGCGAGGGGCCCTTGCCCTCGGGCTCCCCCCAGCCTGCCCGCTGGCCTCGTTCCCCCGGGCCCCCGGGTGCGTGCTGCCCCTCTCGGTGCCCCGCGGCGCTCCCCGAAGGCCAGCCTCACGTGTCGCTGGTCTGCCGGGCGTCCCCTGGGGGCTGGTGGGTCAGTGTCTCCGGGGGCCAGCTCCGTGGCAGGGGGCGCAGGTGCAGGCGGGAGTCCTGTTTGTGTATTCGCAGTCCACCGTGTGTGAGAAGATCATGGAGCTGCTGGGCCAGAACGAAGTGGACCACCGGCAGCGGAAGCTGGTCATCCTGAGTCAGGACAGGTTCTACAAGGTCCTGACCCCAGAACAGAAGGCCAAGGCACTGAAGGGACAGTACAATTTCGACCACCCAGGTGCAGCTGAAGACCCTGAGGGGGGTGAGGGAGGAGGACAGACAAGGGGACTGGCTCCGGGGTTGGCCGCCGATGCAGAGAGACCCCAGTGGTTCCATGACATTTCTGAGGTAGCCTGAGCCGGAGCGGGCTGTGTGATTAAGTCAGAAAGAACTTTGCCTCCTTCTCTGTGCCCCGAGTGGCACTGCAGGAGCTGCTGGCTCCCTCAGTTGGAGCCAGGCAGGAAGTCTTTGCTGCGGAGCAGCCCTGGGGACCACTGCTCTGCCAGGACTGTGCTCATGGAGAAACCCCCCCACCTTCCTGCTGTTTGGGGTCCCCACCTGCCCTGGGGCAAAGTCCTTGGGAGGCTAGCAGGGGAAGCAGTGGGTAAAGAAGAGGGCCGTGTCGGGTCTGGTCTGGTCAGGGGGCGGGTGCAAATGGGGTAGACAGGTGAGGGGGAGGAGCCAGCCTGCCCTTGCCTCTGCTGCTAGCAGGTTCCCCCCTGTGGCTGGCTCCCGCGTGGGAAGGAGGGGACATGTGGGAAGAAGGCCTGAGGAGCATCGGTCGGTGGTTATTTCCCAGAAATAGAAGCAGATGCCTAACCCACCTATGTCCCAGTGCTGGCCGATCAGGAAATCCCTGGGGCCAGACTTCTGTGTGGGACAGCGGTCTGCAACTGTAAACTGTAGGGGTGGCCCCTAGTCCACATGTTCCTGGGTGGAGCTGTGGCTGCCCACCCCCAAGGCAAAGGAAGTTCACTCCCATCCCCAGCACGAGGACACCTGGATGGTCTTGCCTTCTGTTCCATCCCTGCAGATGCTTTTGATAACGATTTGATGCACAGGACTCTGAAAAACATCGTGGAGGGCAAAACTGTTGAGGTCCCAACCTATGATTTTGTGACCCATTCAAGGTGAGCGAGGTGGAGCTTCCTGGGAGAGGGGCCGTGTGCGGGGGGGCCAGCTAGCGTGTGCCCTGCAGCAGCCTGGCCCTGCTGGTGTCTGGGCACACCCCTGTCCCCTGCCGTGATCTGTCCCCCTCCACGCGGTCTGCCCCTGGGGACCGGAGCCGACTGTGCCCCGGGCTCCCAGATCCCGTAGCTCCAGCGGGGCCCGTCTCCTGGTCTCGCCTCCTAGGTTAGCAGAGACCACGGTAGTCTACCCCGCAGACGTCGTTCTGTTCGAGGGCATCCTGGTGTTCTATAGCCAGGAGGTCCGGGACATGTTCCACCTGCGCCTCTTCGTGGACACGGACTCCGACGTCAGGCTGTCGAGAAGAGGTAAGGCGGACGCAGGCCTCTCTCTGCCCCTGGCCGAGGGCGCCCGCGAGTCCTCACCACCCTGCTCCTCCCGCCTCAGTTCTCCGGGACGTGCACCGCGGGAGGGACCTGGAGCAGATCCTGACCCAGTACACTACCTTCGTCAAACCAGCCTTCGAGGAGTTCTGCCTGCCGGTACCCCTTTGGCTTACTCGGGGACCTCCTTTTCTCCCTTTTCAAGAGGACTCTTGGCACCCTGTTCCATGAGAGCTGAACCGTGGGGCAGTGGGGTCTGATTTCTGAACAGAGAAGTTAGCTCCTCATACCCCCTCATAGGGACTCGTTCTCCGCTCTAGAAGCATTGTCCGTGCATATCCCTTCCTCTGCCTGGAAAAGCCCCTCGGCCTCCATGTCCACGCAGCTCCCCTCCTCCCTGCTTCAGGCCTTTCCCCACGCCACCTGCGTGGCCCGCCCAGGGTCACCCCGAGGACCCTCTGCTCCTGGCCCACCTGTTTTCCGTTCTCCAGGGCGCCTCTGGCTGGCTGAGCTCGCTGCGCCTTGCTTGCCCCCTCGGAATGGGGAGCTGCACGGGGGCAGGGGCTCGTGTCTGTCCCCGGCCCACACGGGCGCGGCGGCGCAGGCGCTTGCTGAACCCCCCTCCCCCCCCCCCCCACGCCACCTGTTCCTCCAGGCTGCCCTTGGCTGGCGCTCGGGGGCCTGCGGCCGGGTGTCTTGCCCTCCACTTTCCAGCTCTTACAGGATAGGACTTACAGGTGGTTTGAAAGGGAAACTTAACATGTTGCTTCTTAAAAGTAAAATACAGCACAAAGGAAATGGAGCCAGGATCCCCGCTTCCATTGAGTAGACACATGCGTGCGGTTTGCTGCAGTTGCAAGAGAACGTCTTTTATTTTACTCATGTTCTCTGAAGTGTCTGGAAAGTGACGAGAAAAGTAAATTGATAATCGTACTCTCTCTGTTACTCATGGAAAGAAAGACATCTGGCAGAGCAGGTGGTTTACGGTAAAACTCTGGACACCCAGTCCCACCGGGTGACCCTGTGTGGAGGCTGCACCCCAGCACTGTCCGTGAACTTCCTGATCCCTTTATGCGCAGCCACACACCGAGTCCGGCCAAGGCGACCGTGTTCCTCCCTCGTCCCTGAAGTACGACCTTCCTCAGCTCTCCTGCCCCTCACCAACCCCTCTTCTGCACCCCACCAGCGAGCACCCCCTGTGAAGCTGGCCTGGGCGTCTTGTGCTCATGGCTTCCGTGGGTCCCCACTGCGTGCAGACAACAGCTGCCCCAGGATCTGGCCCATGTCCACACGCCCGCCGCACGGACTGGTCCGCGGGGTCTGTCCCTCAGCTCAGACCACTTCCTTTTCCGCTCCTCCCGCTTGGCCTGATTTAGGCGTGTCCTCCTCAGCAACGTCTGGCTGGGGTCCCCCCCTCGGTGGCCCTGTTCCTCCTGGTATCTCTGTCCCTGCCCTTACCTGGCAGCGCCAGGCGGGGGCAAGAGGTGCAGAGGGCCTTGCCCGCGCCGTCCAGGGAGTATGCCACAACCCGGCCTGCTCCCTGCTCCGGGCTTCCAGCAGAAAGGTTCCTAGTTCCGGGGGAAGAGGGTCACATGTGGCGACGGATGCCGCAGGTCACTTGGCTCAGCGAAGTGTTAGCACAGAGAACTGTTCCCACAGTGGCCTTCCCAGGAAAGCGCAAGCGCATTTCGGAGACGCCGGGGGAGAAACGTGTGTCTTCTGGCTGCCTCAGCTTCTCCTGCCTCTCGCACCTGCCTAACACCTGAGTCCCGGCCCGCTGTCTGCCACCACACCGGCCCCTGCCACCCCCAGGGCTGCTGTCCTGCCGTGGAGTCTCGTGTCCAACAACCAGAAGTCCCGGCGGGGGGTGGGGAGCAGATCATCTGAGATCCTGCTTTTTGCCTTGCAGACCAAGAAGTATGCGGACGTGATAATCCCTCGAGGGGTCGACAACATGGGTAAGAACCAGGCCTGTCGCTGCCCCGACTCCTCAGCCTCCCTCCCGGGGCCCCGGAGCAGACCCTGCCCTGTCCTGGCGGTTACACTGAGTGATGAGGGTCTGCCGTCTGCGTCGGCTCGTGGCGCAGGTCCAAAGACTATTTTAAAAACGTTTAACACGTTGGATAACTTAAACGGATCCCCTCCTGTTTGTCAGTTATGTCAGTAAGGCCGGAGAAAGAGACTGATACAGGGCTCGCTCGTTAGCAGGAAGTGTTTTCCCCAGGCTGGGCCGTTTTCCCGCGTGCCTTCCCTGCCCCGCGGTGTTCTGTCTGCCGAGGCCCGGCAGCGCCGGGAAGCCTCCGCGGGAAGGCCTGCGTTCCCGGCCCCGAGCCGCTGCGGGGCGGCGCGGCCCAGGGAGCCGGCAGCAGATGGAGGCGTCGAGGGGGGACCAGATGGGCTGAGTGCGCGCTGTCTTTGCCACAGTGGCCATCAACCTGATTGTGCAGCACATCCAGGACATCCTGAGCGGCGACCTTTGCAAATGGCACCGAGGGTCCAATGGGCGGAGCTACAAGAGGACATTTCCTGAGCCGGGAAACCGTCCCGGGGTGCTGACCTCTGGCAAGCGATCGCACTTGGAGTCCAGCAGCAGACCCCACTGAGGAGCGGGGTGCTCAGCCTCCTGGGCAGGACCCCCGACAGACCGTGTTCAGGGTCGGGCCCAGAGACGCCCACCCGCCCCTATAAACGCCACCGCTGCTTCCTCTGGGCACCCTACAGTACGGACGGGATGGGACGGGGGTCACTGCACCTGTTACGCCCAACCGGATGTTGGCACACCCTCCCGACGTCTGTACCTGCTTGGTCACGTTAGAGGGTTAGAAGTCTAAGTTGCTGAGAAATGACCCAGAACGTGTGGTGAGCCAGTCACGTCTTTCGGGAACGCGGAGCACGCGGCCTGGGTGTGGTGGCTGTCCCAGGTGTGCTTGACAGGAACCCACAGCGAGAGCGACTCGCCCTAGGACGACCCAGTTCCCACACATGTGTGACTGAAACAGGTTTGAGGAGAGCGTGTCCCCCTTCTGTGCGTTACACGTGCGAATGTTTCGTTATTTATTCTCCCGTGTGAGTCGTGACCCAGTAAGCGAGTTTCGTGCCCCGCCAGTGGGTGCGATCCAGCGCGGCACACCCGGATGGAGGGAGCCGCAGAGAGCTCTCCTTCCTCCTGGGCTGTGCGCCCGGGAAGGAGCCCCCGCAGCGAGCCTTTCCTTAACCAGCAGCGAACACAGGCGGCGGCACCTGCTTACCCAGGCCGAGCCCGGCTCCGCGGCTGCGGTGGGAGGCAGGCTGGCGCGCGCCGTGTCCCCAGCGGCCCTGCTCGGGAGCCCCTGGGCCCCGGGCACCGTGTGGACAGGGCACGGCGTCCAACGCCGGCCAGTCTCCTTGCGCACACCCAGCGTCCCCAGCTGCACGCACGATGCCTGCAGCGGGTGTCCTGGTTTGTCTTCCCTCCCACGAGGCACGGTTTGTGTCCAAGTGACGCTTTCCCCTTGCCGCCGGCCGAGCTGCACGGGCACCTGCCGTCTCCTGCTGTCGGGCCCCGAGTGTAGTTACACAGATGGGACCTCACGGGCGCGTGGCCGCGTCTGATGGCTGTGTGACAGTCTCGTCAGCTTACTGTGCCCTTTGGAGGTTCAATAAATAACACCAAATACCAGTGCCAACGTGTCCGTGTTTAATTGTACGCAGAGGGCAGATTCGGGACGGGGGTACGTGGGGGTGACACGAGTCTCAACCTGCTGGTGCTGCTGGCTCGTCTTGCCCCCACCGCGTCGGCAGCGGCGAGGGGCCCCAGGGTCTTCGCTGCAGTGACCAGAATCAAGGGCCTGTCATTCGGTAGCTTGTTTGGTGCTGATGTGATGGCAGGCCGGTTCCTCGAGGCCTCACGGGACCGTGGCTGAGACGGCTGTGGCTCAGCAGGTCAGCGGGTGCTCGGGCGCGGGGGCCGGGGCCCGGGCCGCTTCGTCCCTAACTCACCCCCATCGCTGCCCGCTCTGCTCCTGCTCTTTCCCCATCGCGAGGCCTGCCCTAGCCGCTCAGCATGCCCTAGTTCGGGGGCCCTTGGGCGCCAGGGGACACCCAGGGCATGTCCTCTATTGCCTGGAAAACACAAACTTGGCTCAAACTGCTTGTCAGCGACTGTCTGAAGAAAAAGCAGAGCAGGCTGGCCGATCGGCCAAGCTTCAAGCTACTCTGTCACGGACAAACACGGTTCAAGATGACCGCTCTTCCTGCCCTGATCCCGGCCCAGACGTTCACTGTGTGTGTCCTGTTAGTGTTTTCGGATCAAGATGTCCCAGCTGTCTTTCCAGCGAAGGGCCTTGAGTTCGCTGGGCGACAGTGACTTGTCCCCGTAGGTGAGCGGGCGCAGCGTGTTGAACACGTGACAGGCGCAGGAGTACCAGGCCACGACCAGGCCGCTGAAGAGGCTCCTCAGGAGCGGGGACCTGCGGAGACCGGAGCACAGGCACGGGGGACGTGGCTCTTCCTCGCCGTCATGAGCACATGGCCCCCTCGCACCCTGGCCCAGGCGCCGGACGGGACCCCTCGTGCATCTTCCAGACTCTCCCATCTATGCTCCGGCGCCAGGGCAGCATCCCCACACCCAGCGTGATGGGACCACAGCCCTTCTGAGAGGCTGTGCGGCTCCCGACCCCTCCCAAAATAACCAAGCCCACACCCTCTGGTCCCGCTTCCAGAGCTCACTCCGGTTCATCTCCGCGGCACAGCGCACGACCCGGCCTACACCACTGGCTGTTCTGGAGCCAGAAGCGTCCTTCCCTGTCTCCCACACCCACGCCTCTCCCGGGGCGCCCCGTTGACCCCTCGCATGGCACACCGAAGTCCTCACAACAGCCCCGGACCCGGAGCCCACAGGGTGTGGCTGCGCAGGCCCCGTACCTGCACAGGCGGTCCCCGAGGTGCTCCAAGACCGCCGGGAGCAGGAGGATCTGGAAGGCGAGCGCAGGGAGGTAGTGGTAGAGGAAGAGCGTCTTCTCCATCATGAAGAACGGGACGTAGTTCACCGCCCAGCCGCCGGCGCACAGAGCCCCGGCCAGCGCCCAGCGCAGCCAGGAATCTGGGGGGGGGGGGGGCGCCCTGAGCCAGCGCTGCTGACCCAGGCCTCGCTTGTAAGGCTCTCCCCCAGTCCCACGAGCTGCTTTCCTCATCTTTAAGGAACACACGCTCTCCCTTTGCCCCACCGCCCGACCTGTCCCGTGAAATCTGGAGAAAGAACGATGTCCTAAGAACCTCCTGTAGCCTCCTGCGGGGTCCTCACCATCCCGACCCTCTGAGCCATACCAGCGCCCCCCGGGGGCCCCAGCTCCTCCTCCGGGATCAGCAGCAAGTGAGCCGGCCTCCTCGGAGCCCGAGCTGTGAGGGACCGTATGGGGCCCCCACCCTGCCCACTGGGGCAGGGTCAGCAGGAAGAGCAGGACAGTGCCACGCTGCTGAAGCCTTCAGGGCCTCACCCTGCCCTGGGTCTGTATTCCTTGTCTGTTTCAAGGTGGTCCGCAGTGATTTCTGTTATGCAAACCACCAGCACCAGCGTAACTCAGTGCCTGCTGGCCACTCTGTGCCACCCAGCCACCCCGTGCTCACGTCCCGGGGTGAGGGCTTTTCCTGCCTGGTGCCTGCATTTCCCTGGACAAGCATCTAACCCAATGTGGGAACTCAACGGCAAGACTTCGTCTCTAGGGAGACAAAAAATAGATTTAAGCTTGCTCCCAGCAGAAACAAGGAGGTCGCCTTAAGGCAGAGGTTCCTGGTGAGGCCAGGCTGTGGCCGGAAGCACCGCGAGCCCTCGTCAGAAGCTGCACTAACCCTCAGGGAGGTCATGGATACCCCTTCGCCGTCTAAGCAAGTACCACAGGAAGAGCAGAGCATAGACCAGCGTGGCGAGGCCGGCCGAGGCCCAGATCACGGCGTTCCCAAGCAGGTGGATCTGAGCCTGTGAGGGCACAGGGAGACCCCGTCAGCCACCGGCCGCGTGCCTGCCCGCCTGCAGCCCAAACGGGCTGGAACCCAGCCCACCGCTCTGGGTAAAGGGCTGAGTAGGGTCCTTGATTCTATAAACGGAAACGCAACCGGGAGAGGCCGACGTTCTCGCTTTAACAACAGCTGCCCACTGCGGGTGAACCTCTCCCCTCACATCTGACGCGCGTACTGGCCCCGTGCTGCCCAATCTCATCGGGAAGGGCCCGGACCAAGCTAGGCCTGGGTAGGAGGCGGCGGCTGCTGTTCACGCCAGAGAAGTCTCAAGCAAGCGCTCCGCCTGCCGCCCGCACGAGTGCCCGCTCACACTGGTCCTGGGGTGCAGCCAGTAGGCGATGCTGGTGTCCAGGGTGACCCAGTCCAGCGGCGAGGAGCTGTACTTGTGCTCCGAGTCGTCGCTCCTCACCGTCAGCATCCTCCACTGCAAGAAGACCAGAGGCTGGAGTCGAGCACACAGCCAGACGCCGTCCTCGCTCAGGGGCCTGAGGGGCTGGGGTGTCCCCTTCACATTCATCTGGACCATGCAGCACAGGCGGGGGCAGAGACCCCCACCCCCCAGGGCCCCTGTCCCCCCGTCTGCGGGGGCAAGGGATTGAACTTGGTGCTAAGGACGCTTTTAGATTCGGGACCCCGAGTTTCCGGTTCCGACCTCTCTAGGGCTCCATCACGTTGACCTTGGCGCACTTCTGACCTGACCTGAGGGGCTCCAAACGTATTCTGGCCATGTGGCAAGGCTACACTGCCTGGTTCCTGACCACTCCTGCCCGCAAAGCCACAGGCCCGGGGCCGACCGTGTGGCGTCGACCACTCAGAGCAGACAGAGAGGAACGTCCCCTGCTCAGCCAGGTCCCAGTTAAAGGCTGACGAGGGGAAGGGAACTGCTCTCTGGCGGGAAGTCAGCGCCCCCAGGCAGAGCCATGCCGCCCCCGCCGGTCACCTGCAGCTCCAGGAACCTGGCCATGAAGCTCAGGTTTCTGCTGACGTCCATCTGTGCGGGTGAGTGCAGCTCGAGCTCCCTCTCCTTCTGCTCCTGGCCTGACAGGACACATGGACCCAAGGGAACATGCGCAGGTCAGGGGGCTCACCACAGAAGCCGTCAGCTTGGAGAAACGCCCACGTCCCACTTTTCAAACAACCCACAGTGTCGTTGTCATCATCACTCCATCTGGCTTTCCCCACCAGACGCGATTAGCCCCGGTCAAATCCCGATCTTTCCACTCAAGAAAGCTCAGCTTGCACCGCCTCTGGGCGGAACCTCAGAGCACAGCTGGCCCGTCTAGGGCTCGGCTCAGCAGAGCGCGTGGCACGTCCAGTCCCCGCGTGAACCAAGAGCCTGCGGCTCGTGGAAGTGGCAGCGACGGAAGCCAGGGGCCCGACTCACTTTTGCCGTACCGGTGTTCCTCCACGTTCCACACCATGCTCTCGTGGTAGCCGCGGGACAGCTTCTCCCCAACGACCTCCAGCTGCCGGAACCCCCAGTCCGGGAGGTGGGCCCCACTCAGCTAGCGAAACCGGTGGGGGGGGGAGAGACGGGGCGTGACGCGGAGGCCCGGGGCCCCGGCTCACCCGCACCGCCCCCGGCCCCTGGTCCCTCTGTCTGCAGCCGGCAAGAGCGGCAGCCGGTCCCCCATGGGCCCACCACGTCAGGATCCAGTCTGAGAAGCTGGAGCCCTCACCCTTCCGTGTGAGGGAAACACGGCACAGGCTTTCGCCAGGCGTCCTGCCCACGAAGAGCCCGCTGAGCCCGGAGGGTCCGGTAAACCGATGTCGTGAGCCCCCAGCCAGGACGGGCAAGCCAAACACGGCGCCCCTTTACCTTCAGGACCGCAGAGGTGTTCACGTGCACCAGACGAACCTCTGATAAGATGGTCTTCCAAACCTCCGTGTCGGATTCTCGGTTTACGATGTCCTGTTAAAAGCAGGTCTTATCGATGATCTCGTTCTATCCCCAATTTCCTGACATGTCAAGTGAGGACCGGTCACCAAACAACGACACTGTCTGAAACCAGGGGCCGAGCTCCGGGGAGTTAACAGGATGGCGCCCCTGACCTTGTTCCTGACACCCACGCAGCAAGCTGCTGGCTGGGCCGGGGGAGCACACCACCCTCCTTCGGAGTCGGGAGGCCTCCGCACTCGGCCTTCTCTCTCTGGCAAACGCAGAGATGGTCCAGGCGAGGGTTACAGAAGGTCCCCGGGAGGCGTCCTGGGCGGCCCGGCTGATGCTGGGTAACGGAAACACTAACATCGTGAGCGCACTTGGCCTTGTCCTATCTTATCGCAGCCCCGCGATGACCCGTGAGGGCGTGTGGCTGCTGGTGGGAGCCAGGAGACCCAAGGCTCCGGGGGAGCGGGGAGGAGGCGGGGCCCACAGGTACAGCCTGCGTCAGCCATCCTCCCTCCTTGTTCCGTGAGCTGCGGTCCCTGGAAATGTGGGCGTGTGGGGGTGAAGGTGCCGCCGGCGGGGATGGAGCAGGACAAAGATCAGCAAGCCGTCAGGGTGGCAGAAGGGCAGCGGCGGGGGGGGGGGGGGGGGGGGGGTCTTGGGGGTTCCACCGGGAGAGCTCCTGGGGACGGGGCCTGGGTGGAGAGCACTCCCACCCCGCGGCAACAGTGAGGAGAGGAGGGAGCAGCAGAAGCACCGAGGCGGGAGGTGGGGGGTCG